TAATATATATAAATATATGAAAAATTGATGTGGGTACTTAAATGAAAAGTCTTGATGAGTGTAACATCGGGATGAGCTTATATCTTTAAAAATGTCAATAGTTCACAAGACACAAAGTCATTTCTTAATCATGTATCTAGAAATAGAGCATTGTCGAATGCAGCCTAAATACTTATCATTATAAATTGACTATTGGTGTGAATGATATGAAACTTTGAAAAGGCACAACTCCAAGTCAAGACTTTTCCAACGATACGAAATTTAACCATAAAAATTCATTTTATAATATAAATACACTGGTCACAAAATTTTGCTTATTCTCTTAATAATATAGATTAAATGTATACATATATTTTTAAATGATTAACGAGAGTTATTTTTAAAACTAATGATGAAAAAAAATGTTAAAGGATGATTAATAACAAAATAAAATAATACTTTGTGATTTATTGTTTTTAATTAATATAACTTTTTAGTATATTACTTTCATTTATTAAATTTTTATTGCTTAAAAGTTTTAATTGCTCTTTAATTAAATCCTTGAAAATAGTCACGTTAATTTAAGAGTTTGTGTATATATATATATATATATACATATATAAACTCTCTTAGCGACTACTACAGTTCAGAATAAACTTAACATCGTGATTAATTAATTAAAATTACCAACCAATTTATGGAAGTTTTTTTTTGTACTAATTAATGGAACTTTAAGGTAGATAATTATAATTACTTCAGCAACTATTTTTGTTAATTTAATTTTTTTTATCATGATTAATGATACATTTTGTCAATCGTTAGATTGGAAATAATGAAGAAAAGTTTGAGAGAATTTTTTTTTTTTTTTTTTTTTCAATTTCTGTCGATGTCTCTACAAAGTAAGAAAAGTTTTCTTATCCATTTCTTTATTGCAAAACAATAAATTTCTCAATATATAACATTAACTTTTATATATCTGTACGCCATCGTTAATTTTACCCACGAGTATATACTCATAAACGTCAGACTTGGGAGCTCTACGAAACGACCAAGCGTTCCTCCTCGGTCAATGCAATTACAGCCGCCGCTTCTCTCCCACATCGCCTTTGATCGATAATTCATTACTGCCCTGATTCTGAAAGCCCTTAATGTGAACAACGTCAAGTTTAATTATAAACTTTGTTATCGTTACGTATACGGATATTAAATTCTATCCTCTGCAAAAACTAATTTCATTTGACAATTGAAATAATAAATAAAATATATATAAAAACAATATCACTCACCCAACTATTAAATAAAGAAACAATAATAGAACAAAAACAGAGGAGCGCTTCAATATCCCATTTATTCTTTATCTCTTTCGAGCATCAGAAAAAAACTTTTAATGCCAATATAAATTCTTCTTTTCCTTTAAATAACATTTGTAAAAGTCTTCTTCAAGGTCACAATCATAAAATAACCATATAAATGTTATTTATTATTTATAACACTATTAAATTAAATTTAATTAAATTCGTTATTAATATTAATAGTTTCAAAGATAAAGTAGCGTTACATTTACATTAATTTTAAATTATTATTATTATTTTTCATGCTGAAATTATTAAGTACACAAAGTTATCATATCACGTATTTGCAAGTAGTTGGATTATATTTTAGTTTATCATAACAGTCATTATCGCTCTAGACGTAATTATTATAATAAATAGAGATATGTGTCCTGTATTTATGTTAAAAAATATAACTTGTCATAATTATCTTTAATGATAAACAATGACTTTCTATTTAGACATTATAATTATACCAACGTTTAATTATCAAGAAAACACACTCGCAGTTAATTATTAGTTGTAAATTTCCAAGGAAATAAACAGGTTATAATTGTTTGTTTTAAATAATAAACTAATCTATATTATTAAGACAATAAGCAACATTTTGTAGCCAGTGTATTTATATGATAAAATGGATTTTTCATGGTTTTATATCTTCTCACCAATAGTCAATTTATGATGATAAGTATTTAAGCTGCATTTGAAAATGCTCTATCTCTAGATACATGATTAATAAATGACTTTGTATCTTGTAAACTATGTATATATGAAAAATATATCAAAATGCACGTAGGTACTCAAATGAAAGCTCTTGATGAGTTTAACATCAGGATAAGCTTATATCTTTAAAAATGTCAATACTTGAGAAAGTACAGTGCATTTTAATAATTACGAAACGACCTTGTATCTTGAGAACTATAGACATTTTTAAAGATATAAGCTCATCCTGATGTTACACTCATCAAGACCTTTCATTTGAGTACCTACATCAATTTTCCACATATTTAAATATATTACATATATGTATATATGAAAAATATATCAAAACTGTACTTTTTTAAC